ATATCAGTACTAGAAGCCATATATGGGCTGGCGCTGTGGATCAATAGGCTAATCCTCCACCTGTGGCGCCGGCACCCCGGGTTGAAGTCCTGGTTGGGGCACCGGATTCTGTCCCAGTTGCTCCTCTTCCAGTTCAACTCTCTGCTGTGGCCTGGGAAGGCAGTGGAGGATGGCCCAGGTTCTTGTACCCTGCACCTGCATGGGAGACCAGGAGGAAGCACCTGTCTCCTGGCTTTGGATCAGCGCGGTGCGCCGGCCCTAACACGCCATTTTTATTTCCTCGGGGGGGGGGGGGTGTGAACCAACGGAAAAAGGAAGACCTTTCTCTCTGTCTGTCTCTCTAACTCTGCCTGTCCCCCCCCAAAAAAAAGTCATATATGAACATCTACTCATATATATATATATATACATACATATATATATATATATATATATATATAACAGGCAGAGTGCACAGTGAGAGAGAGAGACAGAGAGAAAGGTCTTCCTTTTCTGTTGGTTCACCCCACAATGGCTGTTGCGGCCAGCGCACTGCGCTGATCCTGAAGCCAAAAGCCAGGTGCCTCTCCTGGTGTCCCATGCGGGTGCAGGGCCCAAGGACCTGGGCCATCCTCCCCTGCACTCCCGGGCCATAGCAGAGAGCTGGACTGGAAGACGGACAACCGGGACAGAATCCAGTGCCCCAACTGGGACTAGAACCCGGTGTGCCAGTGCCGCAAGTGGAGGATTAGCCTATTGAGCTGCGGTGCAGGCCTGAACATCTACACTTAATACTCCAATTTAGGATACAAGAATGATAATTTTTGGCAAAAGCAAGGCAACAACAATAAAAAAGGCTAACAATGTTATTCACTAGTGAATCATATCTGAAACACTATCTAATTTTAGATCACTTCTATGTTGATTTTCTGAGTTAACTTTTAAGACATTGGATTAGTTTGTAAAAGGCCCTGAGTGGGATGATTTAGATCTGATATCTGTTTTTAAAACTTCTCTTTCTGCTTTGTCATATGATGGTTTTATGATAAATTTTGTGTTTTTAAATCACAAGTCAATAAGAATTTGCTAGCTGAATAGGCAAAAGAGACACATTCTAGAATTCAAAAATGCTAGAATGCATGTAAAGTTTATGGTAATTTAAATAGCAGTAATAAATACATAAAGAAATGTATAATTTCCCAGCCTAATTCTAAGCAAGGGTGCAAAGATAATTTTTGCTGTTAACATTCAAATATTAGAAGTCACTGATGGTAAGTATAACTCCAATATTCAAAAAATACTACTCTGAAATATGCCAACAGATGTTGGAGAAAAGTCACATGATAAAAGTGATGCAAAAATGTATTACGTGCTACAGTTTGAAATACATATATTTATTTAATATTCAAACAATGTGATTTAATGTTTATGTATAAGGCTTCTTATATAATTATATCAGCAAGTCATATGCTTTGATCTTTTAATTTGCAAAATATAGTTACTACTATTTTAAGTAACTAGTATGTATGTATTTTAAATTATGCTACTTAGAATTACATAAGGATGTCGACAAACACTTTCATGTTTTCAGACAATAAAACCGGATGAATAGATGAATTTCTTGAAGATTACACAAAAAGGATAGGCAAAAAAGACTTGAAGAAAGTTCTTTTTGAGAAATATCACATCTAGATTTTATCTTTTTTATTTTTGACAGGCAGAGTGGACAGTGAGAGAGAGACAGAGAGAAAGGTCTTCCTTTGCTGTTGGTTCACCCTCCAATGGCCGCTGGGGCCACCGCGCTGATCCGAAGCCAGGAGCCAAGTGCTTCTCCTGGTCTCCCATGCGGGTGCAGGGCCCAAGCACTTGGGCCATCCTCCTCTGCACTCCCGGGCCATAGCAGAGAGCTGGCCTGGAAGAGGGGCAACCAGAACAGAATCCGGTGCCCCGACCGGGACTAGAACCCGGGGTGCCAGCGCCACAGGCAGAGGATTAGCCTATTGAGCTGCGGTGCTGGCCTAGATTTTATCTTTGCTTCTCTTTCTTTCATTTCCCCTAACTTTGATCTACAATTCTTTTTAAAGATTTATTTATTTATTTGAATGCAGAGCAACAGAGAGAGAAGTAAAGAAAGAGAGAAAGATATTCCATTTGCTGGCTCACTCCCCAAATGTTGGCAACAGTCAGGTCCCAGTCAGGCTGAAGTCAGGTAATAGAACTCCATCTTGGTCTCCCGCATGGTGGCAGGGGTCCAGGTACTTGGGCCATCTTTTGCTACCTTCCTGGATGCACCAGTACAAAGCTGGATTTTAAGTGGAGCAGCTGGGACGCAAACCATTGATCTGATATGGGGTGCCAGCACCACAAGCAGTGGCTTAACCTGCTGTGCCACAAAGCTGGCTCCAATCCCCAACCTTGATGCTTTTTTTACTAAATCATCACCTAACCTTTTTGGCTTAATATATGTCCTCATCTATTTCAATCATCACTTGGAATTCTTTTCCAGCATAACGACGATGTTTTCATTTTGGCAGTGCAGTTACAGGTTTCATTCATTAACAAAACAATCAACAAAACATGCAGCCTAGTGATGTAACAGCTGGACCCTGAAGGCAGATGGTTCAAGTCTGTATTTAGGTTCCACAAATGATTAGCTATGAAACCTTGGGAAAGTCATTTAACTTCTGTGCATCCACTTCTTGTGTAAAAAATGAGAGTATTAACAATGCCTCCTTCACAGATTGTTTTTGGAATGGATGAATCAATATATGTGAAAGCCTTATAACAGTACCTGACATTGTAGTGACAATCATATAAATGTCAGCTGCTTTTATTTTTAATATTATTGGTTGTTATTTGAGTACCTATATTCTGAGCATTCAGCTACATTTTTGGAGTATTCTGGTGAACTAGACAGACAAGGCCTTTTGGGAAAGCCCTTCTTCATGCAACAAATCCCCACTTTTCATATCCCAGTGTCTTAAGTGGACTCTAGACAAAATGTTTTTGGTTAGGTCTGTTATCATATTTAACAGAGGGCACCAAAAGTGTAAAATTTAAACTGCTAGGAAAAGATGCAATCTTTAGGGCTGGCACATATAACAAGTTACCTAACCACTTGATGAAATTTGTGTCCCCCTGCCCTTTCATCGCTAGAGATGCCAATTTTCAAGTCAAACTGGTATAGCAAAAAGTAATTCATTTATAGCTAACATCAATGATTATAGTTACATAAAATCAATTAATTAGCCTATAATAAAGGAAACTTCCTCAGATTATTTACTCAAATTACAAAATAAGTGAGATTTAATTATCATACTGTTGCCCATCCTAAGAACAATGGAAGTCTCCTGCTTCAAAATGAACATAAAAGCAACTGTAATGGGATATGTTTAGCCACTGAAAGATTGTTCTTTGCACTCTCCATTGTTAGATTTCTTTTACTATTTCTTCTTATTTATAAGTTACCTTCAGGTAGAACAGATAAAACCTAAACATAAAAGTTATATTCCTGGCTTAGAATTCTAAAATAAAATCTTCAAAGGATTTCATTTCTAAGATGTAGGTACTCACTGAAGGAAAAAAATGGTTTCGTTAAGGATCCGGTTTGGAAGACTGGAAGTCAAGCGTTTAATACACCATAGTCCACCGTAGGCCAAGAGAAGAAATAAATCCCTTTCTTATGTATCAGAGGAAATATTTCATTCTACTCTCTTATGTTCTGTAGCTGGGCCTAAGAATTGAACTAACATAGGAAAGATTAACATAAGAAAAGCACACATGTTTTATTTAGTCCTTTTACATGTATGGAAATCCTTGTAAGAGAAATGAAGACCCCAAGAAGTTGTCAGGTCCAACAGCTTACATATCTTTTAAAACAAAGAATAATAAACTGGAGATGTGATAAGACAAAGATTCCAGGGGTCATGAATTTTAGTGTGACTAGGAAAACACAGAGAAAAGTAACATAAGGTAAGGATTATTGTAGTAGGTCTGCTTGTATAGACTGATTTCAGCATCAACTCCTAGTCTCTAGTGTTAAGAATGTTTTTCTGGGGCCGGCGCTGTGGTGCAGTAGGTTAGTCTTCCACCTGGGGCGCCAGTATCCCATGTAGGTGCCAGTTCGAGTTCTAGCTGCTTCTCTTCCAATCCAGCTCTCTGTTATGGCCTGGGAAAGCAGTAGAAGATGGCCCAGTGCTTGGGCCCCTGCACCCACGTGGGAGACCCAGAAGAAGCTCCTGACTCCTGGCTTCGAATCAGAGCAGCTCTGGCCATTGCAGCCGTTTGGGGATTCAACCAGTGGAAGGAAGACCCTTCTGTCTCTCCCTCCCACCATCTATAACTCTATCTCTTAAACAAATGAATAAAATCTTAAAAAAAAAAAAAAAAAAAGAAATGTTTTTCTCTTTCTGGTTGAGGGAGGGCACCTTTCTCATGCAAAATTTTATGGCCTAATTTCAGAAAAAGAAAAAGAGGCAGCCATACAGCTTTTTCTGAATGTACTATTTCTCAAATGCCTTCAGCTCAAAACAACCCTTAAGCTACAGGAGTATATTATGGGGTGGCATATTCTGATGTTCTACACTTGTTTCCAGCTATAGTAAAACTACGGTAAGATAGAAGATTCTCTAACTTCAGACTTTCAGGTCTTGGAAGGATGTTTGGGGAAATAAAGACAGTAGAATACAGGTAACAGCTATTAGGCTTATCCACACATCTACTTTCTTATGCTTTAGATTTAGATTTAGCTTTCAAAGTACTTATTTATCAAAGTAGTAAAGAGGAGAAATTGGTATCCTGAGGCTACTGAAAGAGGAAGACTCAGAGAACTGCGCTAAGATTTCCTTCTGATTTGATAGTCAAGCTATGTGGCGGAAGAGAATTGAGAGAAAACTCTCAGCCCACCCAGGTTTCCCACTTGTCCAGAAAGTGCAGAAATGATTCATAAAAGGTTTTCAATATTCTGCCACACCTATTCCTAGGGCGTGAAAAACAGTTGAGAATTAAGTCAGCATACTTACCAGGAGTTTACACGGAGGTAGAGAGTCAAGTGGCAGAGGTTGATAACCGGGTAGCCAAAACTGATCAAAAAAAGGGAGGGGAGAGTCCTGATAAGTTGTACTCTTGAAAAAATCACCATCCTCTGCCTTTGATAAGATGAATATGATGACAACTACAATTACAATAAAGCAAACATTTATTATATAAGTGCTGTCTAAGTGATTTACATGGATTAACTCATTAAATCTTCACAATCCTGTGAGATAGGTACTATTATTGTTTCTTGTTTTAATGAATAAGAAACTGAAAGGTTAATTTTTCCACAGCTAATAAGTGGCAGACTTGACCTTTGCATAACAGAATAGACCAAGAATTATATTAGCCATAAACATTTTTGCGTTGGATAATATAGCCAGAAGAGGCTCATGCCTCGAGATGAAGTGGGATAAGACACTTCAAGTAGAGACAACAGGATCAGAGAGCACTTCCTCAATGTCAGGACAATATGAACACTCTTTGGGGAGACTCAGATTGCTAGTGTGAAAAAAGAAAAGGCACAAAGTACAGGGAGAACCCCACACACTTACATACATACGAAATATACCTCATATCTACATGCATTTGCGTATCTATTTATTTAGGAAGTTTGATTTCTCTGGAAAGCACATAAGTGCTATCATCCAGGCATTTAAAAGCAACCATTAGAAGAAAAATGCTTCTCTTTGATGGTCTTCCTTAACCTTTTTCAGACCTAGAGACTTTACATCCTAACTTCCGTTACTTTCAAAAATGCAATAGGAAAACCTAAGATATGATGACTGATTCTCTATCCTTAGATTTTGAAATTTTGGAAAGGTGTTTGGAAAATATTTCAGGAATCATGAAATGTAGGCAACAGCTACTTATTTCCCTACTCCTTACATCTGACTTTCAAGGTACTTAAAGTATTTACCAACAGATAAAAGAAAATGGAAAATAAAACCATACAAGAACTATCAGAAACACAAGCAAATACACTCAGGGCCTAACAAAAATGTACACCAAAAGGAAAAACTACCATGAGTTACAAGTGTTGCAGGACTTGCTTACGTATATGCTGTATATACGCGTTAACATGCTATACTCATATAGTACTAATCTATCAAAAATAAATATTCTAATAGAAAAAGTCATAAAGTAAGTGACAAACTAACACTGTAAGTTTAATATATTAACATGGAAAGATGCGTTCCTAGCATGTTTATTGAGATAAGTGTATATATGGGTGTGTGTGTGTGTGTATACACTTAAGTATGCATCTGATTACATGAAAAAAATAATCTATAATTACAGAGAAAAAAACTAAAATATTCATAGTAGATATTGCTGATGAGTAAAACCATAGGTACTTTATATTTTGTTCTCTGTTATTATTTTTTTTTGACAGGCAGTTAGACAGTGAGAGAGAGAGACAGAGAGAGAAAGGTCTTCCTTTTCCGTTGGTTCATCCCCCAAATGGCCACAATGGCTGGCACGCTGCGGCTGGCGTGCTGCGCCGATCAGAAGCCAGGGACATATATGTTATAACAACATGAAAAATTCATTAAAATTTTTTAAATGTAAAAATTTAAGTGCATAATCCCATTCAAAATTTTACAGAATTAGAAAATCTTTAGGGGCCAGTGCCATGGCACAGTAGGTTAATCCTCCGCCTGTGGTGCTGGCATCCCATGTGGGTGCCAGTTCTAGTCCTGGCTGCTCCTCTTCCAATCCAGCTTTCTGCTATGGCCTGGGAAAGCAGTAGAAGACGGCCCAAGTCCTTGGGCCCCTGCACCCACAGGACCCACATGGGAGGCCGGGAAGAAGCTCCTGACTCCTGACTTTGCATTGGTGCAACTCCAGCCGTTGTGCCAATAGTGAACCCTCGGAAGTAAGTCCTTTCTCTCTGTCTCTTCTTCTGTCTGTAACTCTACCTCTCAAATAAATAAATACAATATTAAAAAAATAAAATCTTTATAAAATTAGAAAATCTTTACAGAATTAGAAAAAACAATTCTAAAATTCATATGGACTCACAAAAGACCCAGAGTTGCCAAAGTGATCAGGAGTGGGAAAAAAAGTAAATCTGGAGGCATCACAATACCTGACTTCAAAGAATACTACAAAGCAATAATAATTAAAAAGGTCCTAAAAACTGACACATAGATCAATGGAAGAGAATAGAGAACCCAGGAATTAAAGCATGTAATACAGCCAACTGACTTTTGACAAAATTGCATAGACCATTCACTGGAGCAAGGATAATCTCTTCAATAAATGGTGCTGACAAAACTGGGTATGTAGGGTCCGGTGCTGTGGTGTGGGGTTAAAGCCCCAGCCTGCAGTGCTGGCATCCCATATGGGTACAGGTTTGAGTCCCAGTTGCTCCACTTCCAATCCAGCTTCCTGCTAATGGCCTGGGAAAGTAGAAGATGGCGCAAGTCCTTGGGCCTCTGTACCGCATCAGAGAGCTGGAAGAAGCTCCTGGCTCCTGGCGTAGTATTGGCTCAGCTCCAGCCATTGTGGCCATTTAGCGAGTGAACCAGCAGATGGAAAACCTCTCTCTCTCTCTCTCTCTCTCTCTCTCTCCTTCTGTGTGTATCTTTCTTTACCTCTCTCTTTCAAATAAATAAATCTTTTTTTAAAAAGTGGGTATATATAAATAGAAGAATGAAATTAGATTCATATCTCTCAGCATATACAAAAATCAACTAAAGATGGATCCAAGAACTAAATTTAAGATCTGAAACTATGAAGGTATTGGAAGAAAATGTAGGGGAAACACTCCAAGACACTGGAGTAAGACCCCCAAAGCACAGGCAAAACTAAACAAATGGGATTATATCAAATTCAGGTGCTTCTTTACAGCAAAGGAAATGATCAATAGAGTGCAGAGATATCTAACAGAATAAGAAAAATGCTAGTTAGATACTTGTCTGACAAAGGATTAATATCCACACTTCAACAACTCAACAAAAAACTAACCAATCAAGTTAAGAAATGAGCAAAGACCTCCACAGACAGTTCTCGAAAGAAGAAATAGAAATTGTCAAGTAACATATGAAGTGCTCATCATCACTAACCATCAAGGAAATGCAAATCAAAACCATGATGAGATATTACCTCACCCCCATCAGAATGGCTATTATCCCAAAGATAGAAAGTAACAATGCTGTCAAGGATGTAGAGAAAGGGGAACACTTACAGACTGTTAGTGGGAAGGTAAATCAGTGCAGCCACTGTGGAAAACAGTATGGAGATTTCTTTAAAAACTAGAAATAATATGCACACCATGGAATACTACACAGTGGTTAAAAAAAGGAAATCCAGTCATTTGCAACAAAACGGATGAAACTGGAAAACATCATATTTACTGAAATAAGCCAGTCCCAAAGCAACAAATACCATATGTTCTCCCTGTCCTATGATAACTATGGAGCACCTAAAAGGTAATCTGTAGAAGAGAAATTGACACTTTGAGAAGCAATGACTTTGAACAGCCCTTGTCTTGACTGTTGAGGAACAGATTTTTTTTCATACTATTTACTGAACTCTTTACTCAACATAGAGATAATCGTTTGTGTATAAATTCGATTGAAAATAGAACTCAGTAAAAATAAGAGTGAGAATAAGAGAGGGAGGTGAAAGGGATAGGAGTGTGGATGGGAAGAATCACCATGTCCTAAAGCTGTAACTGTTAAATGTATGAAGTTTGCAACTGTAAAACCATATAATTCTGCATATATTCCTACTGACTTACAAAAAAAAAAAAACACCTAGAAATAGACTTGCATTATAGATCAGCAATCTCACTTCTGGGTATGTAGCCAAAAGGCATGAACACAATATATCAAGATACCTGCACCACCATGTTTATAGCAGCACTGTTCACAATAGCCAAAATATGGAATCAAACAAGGTTTCCGTCATCAGATGAATGGATAAAGAAATGGATAAATACACACACACACACACACACACAATGGAATGCCATTCAGCCATGAAAAATAAAAAAGAATGAAATTCTGCCATTTGCCTTGAAATGGATGGAACTGGAGGACAACATGTTGAGTGAGATAAGTTGGATACAGAAAGATACATACAACATGTTCTCCCTTACATGTGGAAGCTAAAATTAAAAAATAAAAAAAAAACTGAAAAAACAACCCCCCCATACCTGTGTATATCATTATTGCTGCAAATTATTTTTGTCAAACTTTGGAAAGAAAAGAAAGTTAAAACAAAACAAACTTAAAAAAATTTAAGAGCAAAATAAAATGGACATGTGTAGAAAACTGTGTCCTGTGTCCTCTAAGCTGAGGTATAGACTACGTTATAATTATTCTTCTGGTATAAATCTCAATTTCAGACTCTGTAACAATTAAGACTTGGTAAAAAATTGGTTAATTATATACTTCTTCCTCTGCTAACTTTAAGAATGACATTTGCTAAGGAATGTTGTACATTTTTAATTCTCTCAATTTACAGGAATAAAGTCAATATTAATATTTGTACAATACCTACAATGTACTCAGCACTGTGTTAAGTCCCTTAGGTGTTAAACAAAGGTACTTATTTCTGTTAAATAAATCAAAATTTCCACCAAATCAGGCTAGTATAACTCACCAATGATGATTTGTTAAAGGTTCTAATCCAGAATCCATGTTACATGCCATCTTCAATTAATATCATACTATTGGCCCACCAACAACAAGAAATGCATTTTTTGAATAATGGTAACATATTTATTTTTTACACAAATTTGAAAACACTGGTTGGAGTCAGAAATCAGGTACAGTCAGCTAATAGCTGCTTCAAGTTAAATCTAAACTTGTTATTTAATGATGAAGATGATGATTTATAACTAACATTTTCTAGTACTTAATATGTTTCAGGTACCATGATAATTCCTAAATCATTATCATCATTTAACTACCGACAAAACTGACGTAAGATTATGCAACTAGGTGCCAGTGCTGTGGCACAGCTTAAGCTACTGCCTGTGATGCAGCATCTCGTATGAGCGCTGGTTAGAGTCCTGGCTACTCTGCTTCTGAGCCAG